GTTCAAAGCCCTTTGTAACCTGGCCTGTGTCGATCTTTCCAGACTTACACCCTCTTGCCCCTTTCCTCCAAGTGCTCTGCCATTCAGTAATACTGGCTGCCTTACTGTTCCTCACACAAGACACTCTACTCCATCTCTCAGATCTATGACTTTTCCCTGGCTATCTCTTAGGTCTTGAATTCCCTCCTTCATCATCACCTACTGGCTTTTCTGGCTTCCTTCAAGTCCTAGGGAAGATCCCACATTCTACAAGAAGCCTTTCCCATTCCCTCTTAATGCCAATGCCTTCCCTCTATTAATTATTTCCAATTTATCCTGGATATAACTTCTTTGTACATAGTTTTCATGTTGTCTTCCCCATTAGACTGTGAGTTCCTTGAGATCTGGGTCTATCTTTTGCTTTTCTTTGCATCCCTAGGCCTTAGTTTTCTTATCTATAAAATAAAGAGGCTGGACTAGAGGACATGTAAGGTCTCTTCTAGACCCAGATCTATGATTCTATGATCCTAGGATAAAAGAAAAAGTTATATTTTGGGAAAGTATTTTTGCATCATTGTCTGATTAAATTCCTACAGCCAAAATCTTTAGAGAAATGACATAAATTTATAAGATTAATAGTCACTCCCCAAGAGATAGGTGGTCAAAGAGTATGAACAAATTGATTTCAAGAGAAGAAATGATTTCAACAGCTATCTGAAAAAATGTTCCAAATCATGAATGACAAGAGAAATGCAAATTAAAACAATACTAAATCTATCAAGTTGGCAAAGATGCTAAATGAAAGAAGTAGTCAATGTTGGAGGGAGGTGGTGTTGTGTCACTAAGAAGACACATTTTTACTTATCAGTCTGTTTCTTCAAGTTTATTTGTCACAGTTTTGGAGCTAGGGGATTCACTGACTTTTCAGGGCAATGTTCCCTGAGTGCCAGGAGATAATTTGGCATGTGTATACAGTTACAGGCTGTGCCAGAGACCAGAAGTGAGCAGACTTCAGGGGGTCAGAGGCTTCATTTCACATTTAGTGCTCACCCTCACCCCTGGGGTCTACAATTCTGGGAACTGACCCTGAGCGGGAGATAGGTTTGGGATATGTTATGTAAGTCAGCTTTACCAGATGAGAAAAGGACAGTTGTGTGACTGCATATATAGGAGTGAATGAGGAGAAATATGTCACATATGAAAGATAGAGGCCTAATCTCTCAAAAGACAGCATTTACAAGAACACAGGGAAGAGATAGACAATGAGTGCCATTGGGTATCTGAAAAAAAAAATAGTTCTGCCCACTTTGCAAGTTTCCACTTAAAGATTGATTTTTTTCTTCTTCAGTTCCTTCAGAACAGAAAAAAATATTTTTGTGGATTAAGTTAAACTTTGGTCAGAATATAGAGCATAAAGCAATACAGCAAATAGGAAAACAGATAAGACTAGTCTTAGGTACAGGGAAAGAATTGTTTTTCTACTGCAGGACCATGGGAAGTTAAATGTGCTAATACATTGTTGGTAGAGCTGTGCTTTGATTCAACCATCCCAAACAGTTTGGAGTTATTTGAGAGGAATGACTAAATTGTTCATGCTTCTTGATCAGGCAATATTATTTCTGGGTTCATAATCCAAGGAGGCCAAAGGCTGAAAGAAAGGTCTCTTTGTGCTAAAATGCTTCTGGTAGAACTATTTGTAGCATAAAAAGTTGAAAAAAAATTGTATCCATTGATTGGGATATGGCTGAACAAATTGTGGTGTATGTATTTATGAGAATGTAATGGAATATCATTTCACTATTAAGATCAATGCATATGAAGAATTTGGAGAAACACAGAAGACTTGTGTAAAATGATACAGTGAAATAGCCAAATGAAAGACAGAGACAGAGAGAATGTGCTTTAAGTTTTACAAATTTAGGAGAAAGGGAGAGGTAGATTGGGGTAAATTATCTCACATAAAACAGACAAGAAAAGGCTTTTACAGTGGAGGGGAAACGGGGGAAGGTGAGAGGGAATGAGTGAATCTTATTCTCATCAGATTGGGCTTAAGGAGGGAATAACATACACACTCAATTGGGTATGGAAATCTATTTTACCCTACAGGAAAATAGGGGGGGGAAGGGGACAAGAGAGCAGGGGGATGATAGAGAGGAGGGCACATTGGGGGAGGTGGTAATCAGAAGCAAACACTTCTAAGGAGGGACAGGGTCAAAAGAGAGAATAGAATAAAGGGGGTGGGTGGGATAGGATTAAGGGAAATATACTTAGTTTTTCACAACATGACTACTATGGTAGTGTTTTGCATGACTACACATGTATAACCTGTATTGAGTTGCTTGCCTTCTCAATGAGGGTGGGCAGGGAGGGAGGAAGGGAGAAAATTTGGAACCCAAAGTTTTAAAAACAAATGTTAAAAAAATTGTTTTCACATGCAACTGGGAAACATGAAATACAGGAGATGGGGTATAGAAATCTGTTCTGTCCTACAGGAAAATTGAAGGGGAAGGGGATGAGAGAAGAGGGAGAGAGATAGAAGGGAGGGCAGATTGGGGAAGGGATATTCAGAATGCATGCCATCTTGGGGTGGAGGGAGGGACAAGATGGGAAGAAAATTTGGAACTCAAAATCTTCTGGAAGTGAATGTTGAAAACTAAAAATAAATAAATTAATTAAAAAAAGTTTTACAAATTTGATCTTCAACACAAACCTATGAGGTAGTAAGCACTATTCTTATCCTCATTTTACAGATGAGGAAATTGAGGCTCAGAGAGGCCAAATGACCTGCCCAAGCTCATGTGAGAGAAGTTGACAAAGACCACTACCCCATTTGAATCCCAGGCACACCATCTTGTGCTATTTTGTTGTGAGCTGAAGGACAAAGCTGCTGCAGCTTTATCCTAGGTATCTCGTTCTCACCTCTTAGAAGAACCAAAAGACGTTGTTAGTGAAGGTGGAAGATTCCAGAGTTCCGGGAAAAGCTGTCCTCCCAGGCTTTGATTTAAGTGGGACCAGCTGTACAAACCCCTTTTCTATCTCCTACGACTAAGAATATACATTTTTCTCCAACAAGGATGCAATTCTTTCTGTATCTTTTTTTTTAATGAATAGGCATCTTTCTTTTTGTTGTTTCACACACTGTTACTTTGAATAATGCTCAGCTTATGAATGCTGCCCTAATAACCTGAGTATAAGAAGACTCTCAAGTCATGCCCAGGGTAGATTGCCATCCACTTTGCTATCTAACTCGGCTGGTCAGGATAAACAGCTACTTGCTTCACTCTTCATTGACTCTGTACTGATATTTTGCAACCCTGACCTCGAGGACCCAGATTGGTAAGTAATATGCCTCTTGGGTCACTAAAAGATGTCACCACTGTACCTGCCAGGAAACTGAATTGCTTCTGTGTGAATTGTCTTAGGAAGATTCTGAAGATCACCTGGCAGGATAAAATACCAGACATTGAGGTCCTTTCTTGAACTAAACTGTCAAGAATTCAAACTCTGCTGCAGAGAGCACAACTATGATGGGCTGGCCACGTAGTTCAAATGCCAAACGTCACTTGCCTAAAAGACTATTTTATGGAGAACTCACAGGGGGCAAGCGTTCACACGCACTTATCTCACGTTGTCTTGTCTCACATTCTCAAGGTCTAAGAACTCTGGAATTGATTGTGTGAAATGGGAGACACTGGCGTAGGACTGTCCAGCATGGCATGCCCAAATCAGAGAAGGTCCTGTGCTCTATGAGCAAAGCAGAATTGAAGTAGCTCAAAAGAAATGCGAGCTGCACAAATTTAGAGTAGCCACTCCACATGTTCCCATGGACTATTTGTGCCCCACCTGTTGTAGAGCATTCTGAGCTCACATTGCTCTGATTAGCCACAGTCAGACGCATAGTAACTTGACTCTAACATAGTAATGTCCTTGTGGTCCTCTTCAAATAAGGAAGGACAATAACCAACCATCAGCATGTCTGGAGGTAGGATGTGAACCCAGGTCTTTCTCAATCCATGACCAATTTTCTATCTACTTACTATCTAAGCACGATATCCATGATGACCATAAACACATATTTAACATTTTATTTTCCCCTAATTAAATGTAAAAAATAATTTTAACATTCTTTTGACTACAAAAATATAAATGAAGACAAAACTGAAGGATAACCGAACTTGGGTCAAATACAACAGACAATATGGGCCAATAAAAATTCCTCACTTCCTCACTCTGTTAAGAAGTGATAAATTTCTAAGAACCCAAAGTTACATATGTTATCAGTCACAATTGCTAAATTAGCTGGTTTTGTTTAGCTGTTTTTTTTTTTTTTTCACAGCAGGCTGGTGGGTGTGGGGGTGGACTGAGTTGGTGATTGGGAAATGATGGTTGTGTTGAAACAAAATATGACAGAGCTGATCCACCTCTCTTGGATTTCACACTTTGCTCAGGAGATGGTAAAGGGGGGAGGGGGGCCTCATAGCTCCACATTTAGGGCTTGTGTATTCAACTCATCTGTGTTGGCTCCTTTTCCCTGTACTGATCGGTGAAGGGGAAATCTTGTCTTACCTAAACATTTTTTATATCTCTTCACTTCTCAAAGTTCTTGGTTGGATATTGAATAAAGATTCATTGAATTGCATTGGTTTGAACTCAATTCTCTCAATTCTGCTCAAGTTTGTGATTTCTCCCTCCTTGACTCCACCTCTCCTCCATCTCCAGCACTTGGGGTAACCTAGTCTAGGTCCTGGGGGATGGGGAAGGAAGCAATGTCCTAGGTCCAAAAGCAAGGAGAGAGGGTTGGTCTGTGGGTGGTACAGCCTAGGGTACAGAAGGACAGAGGAGGAAACTGCATGAAGCTTCCCAACTGAGGGGGTGTTTTCCAACAGTTGCAAGGCCTTCTGGGAAGTCCTGTCCTAGAGCCCTGCATCTGGCCTATTAAAACCCCTCCCCCTTCCCAACTTCCCGTAATCACTGCTAAGGGTGGTTATTGATTCACTGAAGGCTCTAAATCCTGGCCCTTCCTGTGCCATTGCCTCTGTCCAACCAGAATGGGGGTCCCAGCACACATCCTGCCCTTCTCTATCCTCATCTTTCTGTCGGCTTCCTTTGTTTCTGTGGCTGCTCAGAAGGTACATGGGTGTCTGTGATTTAGTGCATATATGTGGGAGAAAATAGATTTTGAGGGTATACAGAGGTATCTGGAAGTACAATGGACTAGGGGTTTGGAGACCTGCATTTGACTTCCGGGTCGATCACAGTATGAATTTGGGCAAGTCACTTTATCCTTGGCCTCATACTGTGATGACCCTACATCTGTAAAATGGGCACAAATGAATGAGGTGTGAGTGTGTACAAATGAATGTCTGAGCTGGCAGGCGTATGGCTATTGGCTATTTGTGCATCTGTAAAATGGGGCTAATAAAAGCACCCACTTCTCAGGGCAGTTGTGAGGATTAAATGAGATATTTGTAGAGTGCTTTACTAACCTTAAAGTTAGCTATTACATCATCATTATCATCATTTATCATCTATTATATTATGAATATAGAAAAGTTTGAATGTTTGTTCTTCCTGAGAGTGGAGCAGGGTATCTACAGCCCCCTACCATACTGACAAGGACCCAAGAACAGAAAGGCATGATTCAGAAGCCCTGGCCAGAGCTCTGGTGATTTGGTCTGCCCCTGGTTTCCCTGTGAAGAGAATCAGGCAGAAAAGAGAAAGTTCCTAGGATCTCGGGACCAAACTTATTCAGCCTTTCTTCTCCCCATCTTTCGGAGCAAAAGACTAAGTGCTCAGTCACTCAGAACCTTGAGTAGAGGCAGAACCAAGACCTAAGTCTGATTCCCAACTCAACTCATCCTTCCTATATTGGAATACACTTCTTACCATCCCCATAGGAAGTAAATAATGCTATACCCTCTCTCTCCTAATTGGGTTGCACTGAGAAACTTGGGTTCTTTCACTTCTTCCGAGCAATGACTAGTGACATTTGTGAATTTCTGCCTCCAGGGTTCAGGGAAGTGGGGATAAGACTGTGCCAGATCTTTTCCCCTTGGTGACCTCCCCATTCTCTCAATCCCACCCTAGAATGGTATTGACATCTACGGTCTCACCCTGGACTCCAAGGTCACATCTCGCTTTGCCCACACCACCATCACCAGCCGTGTGGTCAATAATGCGGAAGAGGCCCAGGAAGCTGTCTTCCAGGTGGAGCTGCCCAAATCAGCCTTCATCACCAACTTCTCCATGTAAGTACTGATCCCTGGATGACCTACTTACTCCCTTCCTCCTCCAATTTTCCTCCTCTCCGTGATGTCCTATCCCCCGTATCTCAACTTTCTCCATTTCCTATCTCCCCTATGAAAAGTCTAAGGAGCAGGACTAGTGGCCTGATGTATATGTGCACCCAACATGCAGAGTATGGTTAATGAGCAGAGTGGAACTGACATTTTAGTACAAAGAAATAAATATGACTTCATATGAATCACAGAAACTTGGTAGGTTAAGAATCATGATTGGAACCAATTAGGTAGAAGAGGACTCAAAGACTACCTTCCTGAAGCTGCCCAAGGTAGCCTTATACCAACTTTCCCGTATGGGTGGTAAGTCTGGACCTTCCTTCCACCCCGTGCCTCCTCTCCTCTCTCTGTGACATACTTTACACACACCCCCCACCAACTTCCTGTGCTTTCCATCTCTCCTAAGAGTAATTATTCATGACCTCCAGTGTCTGTACATCAATGAGTTCAGTATGGATAATAAATAAAGTCTACTTGAGGTTTTAACACAAGGAAGAAAATATAACCTCATCGCATCCTTTACTGAATGGAAATTCATGGACATGTGGATAGTGACATAGGTGATGAGCATTTGGGCTAGGACAAAGAGAGAGAGGAATATTAGTTTTAAAGCATACTACTACGTTTGGTCAGAGAGAAGCTATGGATGATGTTTTTTCTAATTTTAATGGACTGAGGCATTTACCACATTTGTAATTTCCAAAGTAGAATTAATAAGACTTGATAATTGATTGTGTCCAATGGGTGACGCAGAAGGAAGATTCAGAGACTGACAAAAATTGGAGACTGAATGGTGCACAGGGAGAAAAAAGTGAATTTAAAAAGAACAAATGTAGGGGGAAAGATAATGAATTCAGTATCATATATATCGAGTTCAAGATGCAGATGGGTCATCCAGGTGGAGATATCCTGAAGGCAGTTGGAGAGATCATTCCGGAGCTCAGAAGACAGGTATGAGCTAGAGACATAAACTGGGTATCATCTGCACATACATGCTCATTGCAGATGGGGCAGTGAATGAGATTGTTGAGAAACAAAGAAGAGAGGAGAAAAGTGACCCTTAAGGAACAACCTCATTGAGGGGGTTAGAAGAGGAAAAGGAGCCATTGAAAGAGACCAAGAAGAAGAGACATGAGAGGTAGGAGGTGAACCAGTAAAGCATGGTGTCTCTGAAGTCGAGAGAGCTGGTGTATGGGTTGGAGGGTAGCTGCAGTTCTTTGGTGATCTGTGACCCTAAAGGTTGCTTTGACCTTGGGATTCTATGATTTCCATTGTGTCCTCTTGCCTCCAGCACCCTCTTATTACCTTCTTTGTTGTTCCTCCTCATCACCTTTTCCTCCTAGAGGTGCCTAGAGGAGGAAAGTAGAAGGGGAGCAGTGAGAAAAGTGGCAGGTTGTGACTTATTCGACTCAGAACACAAGCTCTTATCTTTCTTCCCCTCCATTTTTTTTCTCCTCCCTTCCCTACTCCTCTTCTCCCTCTCCTCTCCTCTGACTGGTTTCCAGATTTTGTAATGTTTGTAGTGGGGCAGTGAACTCCTTCTCTGACCTTCCCAGGGTCATAGCAGCAAATGGGGGAGGGGCATAGGATCAGGGCAGGCGATGAAAGGAAGCAAAGATGAGGAAGAGAGGACATTGTCAAGGGAAGTCTGTTAGAGTAGCTCAGTCTCAAGGAAGAGCCTTGTCTAGACAGGATGGAGTGGATGAGGTCCCAGTCCAGAGACAGGAGTTTGGACCCTGTGACTTCTGGATGAGGGACTCTGATTCTATGCCTAGGCTGGAAGGGGAGGTGTGGTGAATCATGTTAAGCCTGTATTCTACTGTCCTCAAAGCACCTCAGCCTCTCTGGGGTAGGCAACAATTTCATCCATTTGGAAACGAGACCAAATTCTTGTCCTGGTCCTGGCCCACCAGAGACACTTCTCCCAGGGCAGGGCCACACCACGAGCTGCCTGGAGCTTTGCCTTCGTGGTTGGGAGCTCCTAAGCTCCAGGGCTGGTCATATCTCTTGACTTGTTGGGTGTTCCAGGAACCCAGAGCCTCTCTGGACTTGGGAACTTTTGTTCCCTGAGATAGGGGAGCAGGGGAAGGTTTGTGCTGATTTCAAAATCCTGCAGCAGAGGGGTACCTAGAGGGAGACTGGATTTTCAGCACCCAGCAAAGTAGCTATCCAGGCTCTAGAATCAGAATGTCACAGTTGCAGGAAACCTTAGTGACTCTTGTCCAGCCCTATTTGAATTTTCTAGTTGGGAAGACTAAGGCCAAGAGAAAGCAAAAGACTTAGACAAAATCACACAGTGAGTTAATGGCAGAGCTAGGAGGAGGCTTCCGCTAGGTGGTGCAATAGAGTGGTGGATAGAGCATGGGCCTTTAAGTTAGAAAGACCTGAATTCAAATCCTGTGGCCAACATTTGCTAACTGTGTGACTCTGGACAAGTCACTCAGCCTCAGTTTCCTCATCTGTAATATAAGGATAATGGAAGCACCTGCTTCACAGGGTTATTATAGAGGATCAAGTAAGACAGCACTTGCAAGGTGCTTTTGCCAACATTAAAATGCTGTATAAATTCTAGCCATTCTATTGCTCCTGGTCCAGTGCTGGAGAAGACAGACCATTCCACTCTTCATCTCTAGCCCCACTTTCAGCTCTGTCTGGTTTTTGTAATCTTGATTTTACTGTTTCCTGTAACCATCAAACTCTATGGTCATATTTGTGACATATTTGTGATTATTTGTACACCAATAATTTACTGAGAATTCGCCTTCAAGGAAGTGACAGAGAATGGTCCTATGGAAGTAGATTGTTTCTATTCTTAGGAAAGTGGCCCAAACACGTCTTGGTTAATCTAGAAATTGTATCATCAGCTCTTGAATATTTGGAGGTAATTATGGCAATATTGGGTAGCTAGGTGGTGCAGTGAGAGAATGCTGGACCTGGAGTCAAGAAGACTCATCTTCTTGAGTTCAATTCAGCCTCAGATATTTACTAGCTGTGTGACCCTGGGCAAGTCACTTAACCCTATTTGCCTCAGTTTCCTCCTCTGTAAAATGAGTTGGAGAAGGAAATGGTAAACCACTCCAGTATCTTTGCCAAGAAAATCCCAAATGGGGTCATGAAGAGTCGGACACAACAGAACTACAAAAATAGCAACATCTTGAGATTCTCATCTCATCTCCTATCTCTATGCTTTTTCACTGGCTGTTCATCACACCTGGTACACACTCCCTCTTCATTTCTGTCTCTTGGAATCTTTAGTTTCCTTGTACCACCTCCTGCAGGAAGTCCTTTCTGATATCCAGTGTTTAGTCCTCTCTTCCCCTGGCTCAAAACAAGTCTGTTTTGTCTCCCTAGCACACAGCCTTGCATACAGTAGTCACTTACTGTATAGCTGGGCCCTCCTCTCTCTCTCTCTCTCTCTCTCTCTCTCTACCTCCCTCCCTCTCTCTCTCTCTCTCTCTCTCTCTCTCTCTCTTTCTCTTTCTCTCCTTCTCTCTCTCCTCCTCCTCCTCTTTCTTCTTCTTCTTCTTCTTCTTCTTCTTCTTCTTCTTCTTCTTCTT